CTGATCCAAAGCTGAACCATTCGAACTACAGCTACGTGGTTTATTCTCCAAAGAGTCGCTATGCCATCCACCTTCGACATGTCTTTGATGGAGCGGACGCAACTTTGGAGACGGTGCAAAACTTTGAGTTCAAGGGGCAGGTTCCGGCCATCATGTTTGACATTGACAACACCTTGGCTTACACAGGCAAGGATGGCAAGGGGCACAAGGGGAGTGCCAGAGGAGAGACTGGCAATCAAAATGGGGTAGCTGGGTAGCTCAAGGTAAAGCCGAGATTGAGGAAAGTTTTAGTGAGTTTCATATGTTTCATGCACATCAATGCACATTTGGTTCTTCGTCTAGCTTGAAAGAGTCTGGTTCAAAGGTTGCACGGATGTTTTTGCGAGGCTTCAATGACACGGACATTTTGGGCAAAGCTCCTCCCATGATCCGTGCAGTGGACTTTGCGAAACGCTGGTGTCGATTCGACAACAAGTCAACAGCAAAGTGGCTCGTCCCGGCAGTGGAGCAATGCTCACGTGGTTTGACGCTAGGATCATAGTCCAACATTGGGACCCCTTTCACGTAGGAAGGCATGACAGGCAGAGCAGGCTAGGTCCCTAGGTTGTACATGGTTGTATGGGGCCAGCAGTCAGCGCTTGACAACGAATTCTAGGGTAAATCTGGCGAACTCTTGGAAATCGGCTCGCATTGGAGGCAACTTGTGAGCGATCAGGGCTGACACTCCGTGCCCTTGTGAGGTTCGACTGCTTTTTCTTGACTGCGCGGTACTGCACCCAGCTGAAAGCAGCTGCCACAAAGACTTGGGTTTTGAACAACTTTCCTGTCGACACTGAGTGGGTCCGGGAACATGTCTTCATGACAGGCCTGGAATCAGCGCTACAGAGATTGAACTTATGTTCCTATATTTCAAGACTTGCACTGTTTGCCATGCATGTGGTTTCACCCACTTGTTGGCTTTGGGTCAGAAGTTTACAGCAGGTTGTTTCTCCAGAAACGCTCAAAATTCTTGCAACAGAAATCGCAGGTGAAGTATGGTAAAGCGGTATTACTTGCCATCACTGAGTACCATTGGTATTTATATTGTGCTTGAGACATATTTATATACATCCTCCACCCAATCGAAGGCCGGCCTTTTCCATTCAGGTGGCGTCGGTGGTTGTGACTCCCAGGGTTGCTCCATAGCATACAAGGCAGTGCTACGAAACTGGCTCCATTCGAATCGTCGAGTCTACTGGGCGTCTCGACGTTTGTGGCACTCTTCTTTGCTTTGTGATGCCTCAAATATCCTCGGAACTTCGTTCGAGGTGACAACCAGTGACATCATACAATTCGAGGATTTTTGTATATTTTTGTGGTATCCATTTTTTTGCCAGCTTAATTTTTGGGTGTGAGTTCAGCAGGGGCCTGGGGGTTTGATCCTTCGACGGTGATGCGACTCTGAGGTCATGAGCATAGGAGATCAGCTAACAGACTCGGCTGGGGTGCAGTCAGGCATTCGCGTCACTGAACCGCAAACTCCCGGAGTCTGCTTTCAGACTGTAAGAAATGGCCATGGATGAAACGTGAAGACCCTGCAAAGCATCAATATATGACACCTTTAAGTTCTTGTTTTTCCTATCCGACTTTCGGATACCTAATTTTTGAATATGTTTGACCCATTTGACCATAGCCAAATGATTGAAACTCGATTCAAAATATATCGGCGATTTTGAGGTACAAGTCTCACGTCCTTTGGGCGTGCTGCCATGGAAGATAAAAATGGGGACAGGGCAGAGGGCCACAAGTTTGAGTTTAAAATGTTTCAAAATCCATGCTGAAAATGGTCGATTTATAAGACTTGTAAAGCAAGGTAGGCTTATTTGAGGCATTGCACTGTGGAATAATATGATCCCTCCAGCCTCCTTCAGTGTTGATGAGTTCAAAGGTTTCAGACAATAGTGTAAACCAACAGTAAATCTGTAAATCTCCAATTTTGGAGGGTTTATATATACTATATTAATTAATCTATTTTATACCTCCCATTTCTGGTGAATGTGGGGATGGTTCATTATTGGATTCACCAGAAATTACAAGGTGCTGGCTCTTCTGCTCAGGTGAAAGTGCCAAATTTTTGGTTTGACTCAAGTGTGGTGGCCAATCCTCAAGGGAACGGGGGCAAGATCCAGTTGCAGCCAGATCGGTACCCTGGCTTTGATCACAGCGTATAGAAAGCGGAGATGACCCCAAAATTTCGCAATTCCCATGGGGACGCTGATGGGTAGACCATGGGATTTTGGCCTCAGCTTCAGAATGTTTCAGACAGGCAGCTCACAGCTCTTCAAGATGTCTGAACACCTTCCAGGAGTCCACATGCAAGCCTTGGCACAGTGTCCTGAGGAGCTTTCCTGAAGACTCTGACCAGTGCAAGCTGAAGTGCGTCGTGGGTCCGGACCATGAGTGTATCGATGCTGGATTGAATGAGGATGCCATCCACATGCAACTTGAAGAATCAGAGTCAGCCTCGGAGAGTGACTTGCGGACCAATAACAAGAGGAAATAGAAGAATGAAAAGAATATAAGAATGACAAGAATGAGAAGGAGAAGAAGAAGGACAAGAGCGAGAAGAAGAAAAATAGTGAGAAAGAGAAGAACAAGAATATTGATGTTGATGATCGACCACGGAACCGAACACAAAGATGCCACATATGCAGAGTGCTGTGTCAAGGGCTGAACCATTGCAGACTTTCAAGATGGAAATCGCCAAATCTCAGGTATACCCAGCTGGAGTATTGCATGGCGCAAGACAGCAACAAAGCACCTGATCAGATCAAGGGTGCCTTTCAGGCAGTGGAATTCTTTTTCTGCTCATGATGACTCATGGCCATCATGGCTAGATTTTGTTCCAGACAGAACAGAAACGAACGGAATACAGGGTGCGGTGGGAAGACAAGTAGCTAAGTAGTTTTTTCAAGGCCACGTTGCATGCTTTGTTTGATCCTCGCGGCCAATGAGGCTGCACAATAAACCTCTTGACCTTGCAAAGATCATGCTGAGCGCTACTTTTGTTGACTGCTTCACTACAGACATGGTGACACTGGCCTCTGGCGTGTGGGTCACATGCTTTTGCAACTCACACATCAGAGGTAGAGGGTTTCTCCTCAGTCTATCTTTACTTTTGGAGCCTCAGAATTGAGGGATTTTTGGAGCCTCAGAATTGAGGGATTCTGGAGGCTCGCAGAAAGTCAGCCGAAGTCTAGGTTAGAGAGACGGTCCTGCAAAAGTTCAGGGTGACAAGTAGGCTCAGTAGACAAGGAAGCATGTGCATTTGCTGTGGCAAAAGCTCCAGCTGCTGCTTGTTTTGCATTTGCGAAGGGCATGGAATCACTTGTTGTTTTGGATCGGATTGTTCTGAGGCGAACAATGACTGGGAACGTGCCAGATGGGAGGCATTGCCCTGGACACGGGTCAGAAAAAACGTTTGAAGATTTGAGGGACAAATATGGGATGATCCTCAAGGGAAATGATGAGATTATGTTGGTTATCCCATTTCAGGGATTTTATATCCCACGTTTGGTCATCATTATCAGATTTGCGGAAATCTGTTGGAGCTGGTTCCAGGGCGAAGCCTTGATGAGAAAGGCACGTGGTCAAGATGCGTGGCGTAGCGTGGTGGAATCAGTTGGGGTTTTGGGGAAATGCGTGGCGCAGCATTGCAGCATGGTATATTATACCAAATATACATAAATATACCAAATAGATATGCACAGGAATAGTTTGTATGTTCTGTTCCTGTTGAACTATTGTGGGATCGGTATCATACATGGATGCCCCAGGAGACATTACTGCTTCGCCAGTTTGATGGCTCAACTACCAACCAAGGACCCAGGGGCAGCCAAGGTCCCAGGTATGTCATCGACTGCGTGGTTTGGCCGTTGCTGCTGTTTTGCCGGGTGCCCGGAAGAGGTTGCGTGGGAAGTGCGTGGTAAGTCTGCCTTGGTAATGAGACAGCAACGTGAAATCGTACTGCAAAACTGCCATTTGTGGGATTGACAGGAACCAACATTGCAAGTACCAACATTTTGCACTGGTTGAGTAGAGCGTTACGAAGGCTTGTCTGCCGTGGTCAGCTTGGGCCATTTCGGCTCCTCAACAAACACTGATGAGCTTGCTGAAGATAGTCATGATGAACTTCAAGTTTCAGTAAGTGTGGCCTGCGGAATCTCTGCATAGTCTGCTAACATAGAAGAATACAGAATCACGCCGATGTGGTGTCGAACAGACGGGAAGTTCCTGAATCGAACAGACGGGAAGTTCCTGAACTTTGCACACTGAAGATTTTCCATGTGCAGAAGATGTTGGTAAAGACAGCCAATTTCACCTGAAGCAACTGAAAAGAGGCGATGCCAAGCATATTTCCCAAACATTCCCTGCCTCTTTCCACAATAGCCATGGGCAAGCGCAATCGAGGCTGGAGCTTGTACAACAGATTCAGTGAGAATAGACTGATCAGAGGTTGGCAGCCGATAGCCCTTTTCTTTTGATGACCTTTTTAGCATTGGTAGAGTCTGGTAGAGCAAAGGCAGCAGAGGTGTCGGGTTTCCTGGTACAGGAGCGCTTCTGCTGGCGTTGCTCACGGCCTTGCATGGCTTGCATGGATTTGTGGGTCAGGCCGCAGACAGTTGCTGCTCTCATCTGTTCTCATAGATCCTATGGGTGTCAATGATGGAACAAGGGCACTTTCCTCATCAGTTTATCCTGACTGTAATGCCCGAATTGGATGTCCTTGTGACGTACTGTACTTACTACTAGAATTACTAGAAATACTAGAAAGCATACAGAATGGCAGTTGGAAATGATAGTTCTCATACACATCCGCCATTGTTGAGTTGAATACTGTAAGCAGTTAGTTGAGTGGACAAAGCGCAATAGCGTCCTCAAAACAAGCTGCAGTCTTGAGATGGAAACAACATCAGTAGCATAGGCAAAACTGCAAGCAAACCATGCAGCACCAAGCCGTTAGTTTTAGAGGCATTGCAGACTTTTTGTGGGCTGCTCCCGCAATGCAGCTATCTTGGCCCATTAGTGGCATTTGGCTGACAAAGCCATTTTTAAGCAAGTGATATTTTTCCGCGGCAGACCTGCCAAAGATGCTATGCGCGCAGAGCCAACGGAGACTCTCCGCCGCTACACTGCTGCGATTGGCGCAAGTGGAAAGAACTGGGTGCACGCACTGGATGTTCTGGGAGAAATCAACGCCCAAAGTTTGCAAAGCAATGTGATCATCTACAACGCTTGCATCAATTCATGTGCCAAAAGTGCTGAGTGGCAGAGGTCTCTTAGTTTGTGGGTAGACTTGAAGGAGGAGCAGCTTGAAGGGGATGTAGTCACGTTTGGTGCGGTGATGAGTGCTATGAACAAAGGTAGCCAGTGGGACAAATCGCTGGAAACGCTGAATCAAATGGAGAGAAGTCAGTTAGAAGGAAACCTTATCACATGCAGCTCAGCCATAAGTGCATGTGAAAAGGGTGGGAAATGGCACCTGGCGCTTCTACTATTGGATGCCATCGATGGGGACGGGATGCAGGGGAACGAAATCACCTTTGGTGCAGCCATCAGTGCTTGCGAGAAAGCAGAACATTGGGAGGCAGCTTTGAGCGTTTTCGAACAGATAGCTGCAAGGGATCTCAGGGTCAACTGCATTTGTTACAATGCTGTGATCAGCGCTTGTGGAAAGTCATCACAATGGATGCGCGCACTTGATTTGTTTGCAGAGATACAGGTTTCCAACATCCAAAGCACCGTTATCACATACAATTCGATGATCAGTGCTTTTGCATCTGTAGGGGAATGGCACAAGGCCCTTTGGATGTTGGCAGAGGTTGACATGCAAAAGATAAGAAGAACTGCAATCACTTACAATGCCGCCATCAATTCATGTGAAGCTGACGTTCAGTGGGAGCTTGCTCTGGATTTAGTCATGGAGCTTCTAGCAAGCAGAATCCGGGAGACAGCGTCAACTTATAGTTCCGCCATCAATGCTTGTGCTGCGGGGGGCCGCTGGGAAGAGGCATTTCTACTGTTGGACTTGATGCATCAGCGGCAAGTGTCGAACCACATCATTCCATACAGCGCAGCTGTGCGATCGTGCGAGCGTTCGGAAAAGTGGGAGGAAGCCTTGGTAGTACTGAAAAGGACTGCAGCATGGCAATTCCTGCCATTTAAGGGTTCTGCAGTTCAGGTTGGTTCATTTTTTTTTGGGAAAGTATGAAAGTAGCTTTTTTCATGGTTGAGCTGGTTCATGAAACTCTATGGGCCGCCAAAAAAGAGCTCCAGGAGTTCAGAGCATGGCTTGGAGCACAACGCCATTCTCCTCAGTTCGGCAATGAGCGCCTGTAACTTTGCAAATCCCAAGGTTTATATAAGTTTACGGTTTATCATTGATTTTCCATCATTTTCCCTCTTAAGATTGCAAGGGTCATCCCAAATTTTTGGACGAAACCCACGTGTATCAGTTTGGACGGGAAGAACTGTTTGGAGCATTCGCCCATTCCAGTCCCCCCAAAAATGTATAAAACAACAGTTCATAGAAGTTTTTTAATTTCAATTATAACAGTCTAAGCACAGATTTTCAATATTGTTGATTGCTTCATTTTTCAACAATATCAAAACTATAATGAAAATCATAACAGTCAAAGTATAGTTGCCTCATCCATTTTTCAAAATCACAACAGTTCAAAGAATAATACCATAAAACCATAACAGCATAGTAGCAAAACCAAAAAACAAAAACAAACAACAAACAACAACAAAATCATCACTACCTACCATCAATCACCTCATTCATTTTTTACAAAATCGTCACTACCACCTATATCATCATCTCATTCATTTTCATAAATCATAACTACTAACCATCTATTACCTCATCCATTTTATAAAAATCACAACAGTCAATACATCATCACCTCATCCATTCCATACCCAAAACGACACAACCAAACAACAAACAAAAAAACAAACCAAACAACATAAAAAACAAAGCAAAGGACAACAAAAAAGATAAACCCTTAACCTTTAATTTTCCTACCTTAGTCATCCATAATTCTAATAAGTAAATATTAGTAGAAATACGTATGTTAGTAGTAAATGTCTTCAATAATTACTAATTTAACATGAAATGCCTGTATTCCTATTATACTATCTTTATCTTGGTCTTCTATGTCGGTTTTTATTTCTTCAACTGCTTTCTCTAAAATTTCATCTACATTATCTTCATCTACATATTCATCAAAGTCATTCATAAAATAAATATCTCTATAACTAAATTCATTTTCTCCATATTCCGTTTCTGCGAGTCTTGCCACTAATTGGACTTCAATATCAAGTTTAACTCTATAATTTAAACCATCTTCTACTTCTTCATAAATTGAAGATAATAATTCTTCTTTTTCTTCTGTTATTATGTCTTCTGAACTTTTTTAAACTAAATGGCACTCCCTCTCTCATAATACAGTATTCAATTATATTTTTTTTCTTGATTTCAAATGTTTTTTGCTATTTTAGGACCAAGTCTTGAAATCGTGTATTTGTTTTGTATTCTCTTTAATGCCTCAATATGGCAATATTTAATTTTCATATATTTAGGGTCTCCAATTTTATAAGAAACAATTTACCCAGCACATCAACGGGTAAATCCTTCGCACAATCCATCCTACTAATATACTTAACTATTCTTTATGATTAAAATAAGGCATTCTTAAAAAAACCTACTTAAAGATAAATTAACTAAATAAAATGTATAATATTATATGATGAAAAAAAGTTATGGACTATCTATTGAGTAATGATTTAGCAGAAATACCAAAAAGAGGAAGAAAAGAATTGAAATCAATAGTAATAGACAGCAAGAAATTTAGATACAACACAGACAAACCCATATCTAATGTTTTAACAAAGAAACTAATAACAGTAAAGAAAACTAATGAATACAGAAGTTATGCTTTAAACAAGGCAAAAGATGCGTTCAGTGAAGGAAAAGTCAAACACTTACTAACCAAACACGCAATACAAAACAAATTTAAGGTCAGAGATATTCAGTCAGCATTTAGAAGATATGCTAATTCAATAGTGTTAGAAAATAAACACTTTGAAGGTGAAAGGGGATTAGAAATGATTGCTCACCAAAAACCAAGACTATTGGAGTTTTTAAGAAAGTAGTCTCTATCGAGAATAAAGATGGTGATGACGTTTATAAAGCAGTCATGGAGTGTTTCAAGGTATTAGGTCAGCCTTTGTCGATCTACAGCGACGACGAAGGAGCGTTGAACAGCAATAAGCTGCAAACATTCTTAAAGGAGGAAGGTATAACACACGTAGTAACAAAGACACACGCAAATCAGGCAGAAAGGATGATACGCACGGTCAAAAAATGATTGGGGACAGATTGAGGCATTACAAAACCAAAACATGGGTGGAATTGCTAAAGCCCTCGTTGAATAGATACAACAACCAAATCCACAGTAGCACCAAGACAACACCAAATAATGCGCACAATCTTGATAACGTCATTCAGGTCAGAACAAATCTGATACTGAAAGAAAAGCACAACAGAAAATATCCAAACATAAGTGAAGGAGATTATGTTAAGATATTTGATAAAGGAAAGGGCAACTATGCATCGAGGAAAGAAACTAGAAGTCAATGGAGTGAAAGGAAATACAAAGTGATATTAGTTGGTCGTGATATGATGAATAATAGATACTATAAACTAGATGAAATGAGTAAAAGATATAACAGGCATGAACTACTTTTGGTTGATTAGTAATTGTATTTTGTTCTTCTGTTTTCGCCTTTCTCTTCTTGTGTATCTTTCTTTTGTTGTTGTCTTATTGCTTCCCTGTTCCCTTCTCTATACCTTTAATTTTTGTTACAACATGTGTCCTCAATTTTGCAGCGTTTCGTCTTTTTTTCTTGTACTTTATTTTTATTGTTCTCATGATGTTTTTCTTTTTTCTTTCTATTTTTCAGTATTCTCTATTCTGATATTTTTTACTGTTGAAGGTGATGCTCTCCTGTGCCGCCGCAATCTTCCATTCAAGTCCGACCAGCAATACATCTGTTGAGACCGTTCTTATCATTTTCAATATATCCACCTTCTTTCTTTTCGAGTTGCTTTCTGTTTTGGCATGGGTATTCTGCAATAAGAACTAGTTTGCAGTTTTCAAGACTGAACTCATCAAACGATTTCATTGAGTTAGGATGGTGTTTGTGGGGGTTTGTATTGTTTGTAGGCAAGATTTATAAATTTTTCTATGTCTTGCCATTCTTTCACATAATTTTTCAGTTGTTGAATTTATATCCATATATCTTAAATCATCTTTTGTTACGTAGATTTTTTATGGCATAATGTCCAAACGGGAGACTCTCAAAATCTGAATACCAGTAGCGTTTATTGTCGTAGTTGCTTAAAGCATATTTAGTCTGATTAATGCTGTAGATTTGATGGTTCTTGCTTCTGATAGTGTTAAAACTGACTTCTTCTTTACAGTTTCTATTCAATGTCTCTTCATAAGTTTTATAACTTAACTGATTGCACACTTTATGCTTTACTACTCCTTTACTTTTCTTATGCTCTTTATCGTCACCATATACTTTATAGCAATATGCCTTTGGTTTCAATCCTATAAAGTGAGTAATTATTTTACCGTTCATTTCATCCTTGAACTTGCCTAATACCTTCTTATTTGTTTTGTCATAGTTGGATGCTCCTGTGGATAATCACTGAAATCCATGCAATCATTAATCTCCTTAAAGTCTTCATATAAGTCATCAGTCTCAACCTTGACTACATAACTATCAGTATCAGTATAGACCAATTTAATATTATCTTGATATTTTGGTTTCAAAACATCATAATAGAAGGAATACATGTGAGTTTGAGAATAGTCTAAAATAGACATACCCATATAGATAGGTTTGTTTAGTTCCACTGTGTGCTTATCTTTTTCAACAATTACAA